GCACAAGCCACTTCTGTGTTACAGCATGAACTATGTACAAGCCACTTCAGTGTTACAGCATGAACTATGCACCAGCCACTTCTGTGTTACAGCATGACCTACGCACAAGCCACTTCAGTGTTACAACATGACCTATGCACAAGCCACTTCAGTGTTACAACATGACCTATGCACAAGCCACTTCAGTGTTACAACATGAACTATATGCTCAAGCCACTTCAGTGTTACGACATGAACTATGCACAAGCAACTTCAGTGTTACAGCATGAACTATGCAATAATGGCTGGACGTTGGACAAGGTCCGGCCAGAACTGGGACTTCTGCCTTGCTGATCATTTTCACCAGTAATATATGACTAAGCTAAAACAACTAAACTAACAGATGATACAAATGCAAAACAATTTTTTGAAAACTCTTGTCATGTAATAATATTCCATTCTTCGTTTGCAATAGACGTCATAGCCGCCATTTTGGAAGAATTTCACAAAAGATTTTTCAATGAATTCTTTTGTTATATCTTCCARCATGGTGGACATCCCTTTTGTTATTGTGCACTCTTGGGATTGATTGCAAACCAAGAATTGTGTCTATCCTGTAACAACTGTGCAAGACAACTGGTAAACTAATTGATTTATTAAATACAAGATACTCTATATTTTACTCCAAACATTTACGATATTGTGTACAATAATATGCACACATAAGCTTATTATTATAATTCAAAGATGGCAATCGATATTTGAGTTGAAGGGTTTTTCGTTAATTAGGAGTTTAGAGTCTTTTCCCTTACCTGTAGCAGGATTTTTCGAGTCATAAGTCTTCCTTCCTTTAGGCTTCACCCATTTTCCATTAATGAAATGCCCAAACAAGCGATCGTGTTGGTCCAACCATGCATTCACAGCACTAGAGGCCTCAGGAGCCGGGCCGTACTCTAAACTCTCAAATATCTCCGATATCACTGGATCTTTGTTTAATCTAGACTTCTTGGCCGCTGGAGCATCGACGGATCCATTGGCCATACCTGATTTAGATTTTGAAGCCATATTTTTAACGATTTCTCGTAGCCTACTCCGCCTCGTGGCAAAATGGAGGTGTTACGAAAGTACTTACCCTACCCGGGTTAGGCTTGATTTGTAACACAGGAATCCCGCGTCATCAGAATTTCAAATAGGGATTTTTGTACTTTACACTGATTGATATTGATAAACGAAATATCCTTGGGAATCGCTTGGCACTTCTTAATCATGATAGGATAATTTTTAAAATAAATAAAACTGCCGGCAATTTAGTAGAGTTATTTGCATGCACTCCGAAGAAGAAATAATCGTGATCAAAACTGGTCACCCATCCAAGTACTAACCCTCCTCAACCGGGCTTGACTCAGCATCTTGGAAGCCCAAGTTTTTTCCACTGGACTACGCTTCCAGGTGAATCAGCATAACAATAACCGTGAAAACAATGCACCCAATAGACTAGGCTTTTTTAACATCAAACGTTCAACCGATTCCGTGCGTGGCAGAGATGCAAGGGATTAGCCGATATGGTCTGGGGGCCGGCTGGTCTCTCCCCTGATGCTTCGGCTAGAACATTTTCTT